TCCCTCGCCGCTGTCGTGCTCAAAAGGAAAAGGAGGACAAGAAGGACAGCGAGGCGGAGAAGGATGAGGAGGAGGAGGAGGGGCAGAAGGAAGGCGTCGCGGTCGTCGTCGTCGCCGTTCTCCTCCTCCTCCTCCTCCTCCTCCTCCTCCTCCTCCTCCTCCTCCTCCTCCCCTTCCGCCTCCCCCTCCTCCTCTACTCTCCATCCTCCCCTGGAACTGTCCAGAAGATCTCCCGCCCCCTCCGCGTGCTTTGTTTGACACGCAGGGTTCCAACAATTGTTTGTTCGTATGACTTTATGTTACAGTCCGACTGTTTTCGGTGTTTTGAAATGGTGATCCCGCTGCAGCGTGGGCCCCATCTTCGGATCAGAGATGAGCTCCCGTCGCTCAGATTGGCGCTCTCGTCGCGGCGCGGGCCATTTTTTGGGATCCAAGTCTTGCTTCATTGTGGTCACCCCATCATTTCCCATCCTCCGCCTTCCTCTGGTCTTCTTGTTCCTCCAGCTCCTTCCACTCCAGTTCCTGCTGCTGCTGCTGCTGCTGCTGTTCGTCTCGCCACAGCCCAGGCCACTTGTTTGAATCCGAGTCGTTCTTCATCGTTGTCGCCGAACCCATTGCCCGCCTTCCCTTGGTCCTCCTGTTCCTCCCGAGCCTTCCACTTCAATTCCTGCCCTGCTGCTCTTGTTCGTCCTTATACTTTGTCCTGTCGCCATTATCCTGCTCACCCGCCACCTCTTCTTCCTGCGCACGCAGCTCCCTTTTTTCCGATTACGCATAACACGAAAAAGTCGCAGGTCCGCAATGTCATGCGTCCGCGGATCGAGAAGCATCAGCGCCATAGGAAGAGAAAGAGATGCGAGGGAGGGATATAATGTCAGATGAGGCACGAGCGCACCTAGCTTGTCCTCATCCTTTATGCTCAGTGCCCCGAGGCGGTCCTGAAGCCTGAAGAATGTCCTCCTCCTCCTTCTCCTTCTCGGCATACTTATCCTGATTCTCCACGCCCTCCTGCTCCTCGTTCTCCCTCTATCGTTGTCGGGAGCCGACCACCTGATGCCAACACTAGGCATGGCGATCGGACCCAAAACCACACTGCACACTACCGACGAGCCCCTGTGAGCCGACTCCCCTCGCTGATCTGGCCAAGCACTAAAGCATGGTGGAAATACGCCCGCTTTGGCGCTCCTCGTGCTCCTCCTCGTCCTGCTCCTCGCCCTCCTCCGCCTCCTCATCCTCGCCCTCCTCAACCTCGTCATCATCACCCTCGCTGTCCTCCCCCTCCTCATCCTTGCCCTCCTCCTCCTCCTCCTCCTTATTCCTCCTCCTTCCTCATACTTCCTCCTCCGCCTCCCTTGTGCCCTCGACGCAAGGAGAAGAGAGAGGCCGCCTCGCAGTCTCGGTGGCCGTCCAACCTCGGGCCGCCTCGCGGCTTGTCACTCGATTGCCAGTCGATGTCGCTCGGTAAGTATGGAACTCGGTGCCCCTGTGATCCTTGGTATGAGTCGGGTTGGACGAACCAGGGGGGGGCAGCAATGGGCGGTTCTGCGAATCGGCTCACTTCTCGGACTCCTCGGGCGACTCCCGGCGCTGGAGGCGACAATGTATCCAGGAAGGCGCCCCGCGTCGGGGCCTACACCAGCTACATGCAACAGACTTCGCACGCCCCATTTCCCCATCCCCTTCCGTCCGGCCCGAGTGCACAAACGACGCCTGAAGGAAACGGGCCCCTGATGTCGAAGCTCCCCCGGGCGGGGCCCCCTCCTCGTCCTGGGCCGCTGCCTGCCGCACGGCCCCTGCTGAGAGGCCCCCCACGAGAGCCGAGAAGGGCACAGGAGCAGCTCCGGGCGGGGCCCACTCCTCGTCCTGGGCCGCTGCCTGCCACACGGCCCTTGCTGAGAGGTCCCCCACGAGCCGAGAAGGGCCCGCTCCCCTCCGGAGCTGCTTCCCTTCCTTGTCGGCCCCGCGGCCCGCGCGCGGCGCAGCCTCTTTCCCAGGAGGCGCTGGCGGCCCCCCCCGTCGCCGCGCGGGGCGCGCCCGCCGCGCCCGGCCGGGGCGAGCCCGAGGAGGGGCGGCCGGTGGCGGCCGGTGCGGGGGGGGGGCTCCTGCTCCGTCGCCGTGGGCGTCGTCGTCGGCCCGTGCTTCCTCCCGCTCCGGCCCGGCCCGGGGAGAGCCCCAGGCGAGAGCGCCGAGGAGCCCTCTCCACGGGCGGGGCCCACCGCATCGATGCCCACCTCGCTCGTCGGGCCTCCGCGCCGGCGTCTCAGGGCCGAGGGGCTTCCCCGCCTCGTCGGCGGCGCGCCGAGGGGGGAAGTGAGAGAGAGACGGTGCTTCTCCGAAGGGGGCGGGGCCTCTCGAAAGACCTCCAGCCTAAGACGGAGTCCTGCAAGATAGGGCTCTAAAGATCGGAGAGAGATCCCAAGCTGAACCTTCCGTGTTCGAGACCACTCGTGCTTAGGGCTCAGTTCCCCTCGGCCCCCTCTTTGAACCGCCGACCCCCTTCTGCTTCTTCCTGCTGCAAATCCTCTGGACGGTGATAGCTGGATCTCTTTGCATCCAGAGATATGCTGCAACAAGTGGTACATCGTGGATCGAATAGCTGCTCAACAGCGGCAGTATGCTTCTGAGCCACGCGACCACCGAACACATGGAATTATCCCCAGTGGCATAAAAAAAGGCATCATTGTTACACCTGCATCTTTTCCTTCTCTTACTCCTTCTGCATTCCCTCCTCACTCCGTCGTCGTCGATGCGAAGGGAGGCTTTATGCATACGGCAGGCTCGCCTCGTGACGACTTGTGCTTTAGCTTCTGGCACCGCGTGGATCGTTCCACACCGAACGATCGCGGCTCTCTGGTATCGCCGATCGCTCCATTGCGGCAGCGTCTGAGCCATTACAGCGACCACTTCCAAACCGCTGGCGGCGCCCGATCTTGGAAATCCACTCGGGCGTCGCCGCCACGTCGACACGACACGCCACGACACGAACCTACCGTATCCACCCTCTGGGGAACCGATGACCTGGGGCCCCAGGAGGCAGCGGACGTGGGCACGTTAGTGCCCAATGGGCCCGTGTGTTTCCAGATACGCCGCCTCCCGGGGTCCAGAAAGATCGGTTTCCCAGGCGGTGGATATGTATAAGCCCCAGCCTCGGAGTCGGTGTCGTCGACATCGTCGTCGTTGTCGAAGATCGGGGCTCGGGGTTCGAGGATCCGGGTTCGATGGTCGAGGACCGTCTGTCGAGGACCTTGAGCCTTGGATCGAGGGTCGTCGTCATCGTCATCGTCGTCGTCGCGGTCCCCATCGACGTCGTCGTTTTGGAGACTTATATGCGCCACTGCGGGCTCTCGCCGCCACGGATGAACACCGCTCGGAAAGCAGGCCAGGATGGACCCCTGCAGGAGTTCGGCGGCGCCCACGACGGGGTGGCGCGAGGGCGGCGGTATACCAAGACGGTGGAGGGGATTCGAAGAAGGCAGGGGCCTTCTCAGAAGGCCACGAAGGCTTCGAAAAGGCTTCTGGGAAGCTGGGCGGGCTTCTGAGAAGTCCCCACGACGTCTTAGAAGCCCCGCCGCTCTCTTGGAAGCCCAACCCCGTCGCGCCACCCCCTTGTGGGCGCCGCGAAAAGAGTCTACGAGGGAAGGCACTCGGGCCTGTCCAGGGGAAGACGTCCCGGCGCGCAGCCGGCCGGCGCGCAGCTTCGGCGTCAACGGCGCGGCCACGTTTGTGCGCTCTTGTTCCTCCCGCGGCACCTGTCCATCTGGCGCGAGGTCCTTGCAAAGCAGTGTATCGGGCTAAGGAAAGGGCCAACCCTATGCAGCTGCGAATGGCGCAGGACATGGCCCTGTCCTCGTGTAGGCAGCGCGCTGCCAGAAGTATGGGCCCTGGGTCAGTGCCGGAGGGGGCCACGAAGCGTGTGCGGGGTGTGCCCAGAATGCAACGGGGCAGCGCCTCACAGACCCTGCCAATGGGGCCCTCGGAGCTCCCTTACGGGACCACGCAGAACGTGGGGGTGCCCAGATTTACTCGGTCGTGCCATGCAGACACTGCGACTGGGGCCCTCCGTAGAGCCTCTTATGGGGCCACTAAGCGCGTGAGGGCTGAGGAGACATGGGCGCGGCGGCGCCATGTGGACCCTGCCAAAATGAGCCTCAGTGACGACAAAGCGTGTGACGGGCGTGCCGATATGAAGAGGGACAAGGCCATGCAGACTCTGCCGCTGGGGCCATCGGTGAAGCTCCCAACGGAGTCTCGAAGTGTGTGAGGGGTGAGACGAAATGGGCGCGGCAGCGCAACGCAGACCATGCCACATGCCGATGGAGCCAGGAGGCATGTGGACGGTGTGGCCACATTGGCGCGGCGGCGCCATGCGGGCGCTGCCATGGGGTCCTCGGTAGAGCTCCCTACGGGACCCCAAAAAGCGTGTGAGAACTGTGCCGAAAGGAGGCGGGGCAGCGCCACACCTCGCGGGCCCTCGGAAGAGCTCCCTGGGGTCACGAAGCGTGTGATTGGTGTGCCGAAATGGGCGCGCCGGTGCTTTGTGGGCCCTGCCACAGGGGTCCTCGGTGGAGCTCCCTCGAGGCGCGTTGGGGTGTAGAGAAACGGACGGAGCGGCACAGTGCGGACCCTGCCACAGGGGCCCTCGGTGGAGCTCCCCGTGGAAACGAAACGCTTCAGGGCGCGGGGAGCAAAGGCAAGGAGGAGGGAGGAAGAGGGAGAAGCAAAGTGGGATGACGCGGGACGGTGGGGACTTAAACGAGGACCGAACACCAAATGAAGGATAGAACACGCAATCGTCGGAGGTATGAATATTGTGCCCATCGTCGTCGTCCCTCCCTCCCTCCTCCTCCCTCCTGTTCCCTCTTGTTTCCTTCTGCCCACGTCCCTCCTCCTACTCCGTACCCCCTCCCTCATCGCTCATCGAAGACGAGGATGGGGAGCAGAAGCGCGCCCAGAACCTGTCCTCTCGAACCAAGACCCTCCTCATCACCCCCGGCCCTTTTCTTTCGTCTGCTGCCGCGGGAGCTGGACTGCCGCGATCAGAGTGCACCGCGGAGAGCACGAGGGAGCGAGGCCGTACTTTGCACGTGCCCACCGACCGCCTGGGGAACTCCGACCTGCCAGGATCCCGCCAGGATCCCAAGGGGGCGGCGGATGTGGGCATTGCTGGGCCTCCGTGGGGCCGACAGTGTCCACGTCCGCCCCCCCCGTTGTCCAGGAGGAACGCCCTCCATGGGGGAGCAAAGAGGGACGTACCGATACCGCTACTCCTCGGACCTCTCCTGGGCTGCGTTCTGACCAGACCTTCGCGGCGAATCCAGCAATGGCGACGAGGGCCCTCAGGACGAGCAGTGGCATCGACAACTTTTCCTCATAAGACCTTGGGCCGTGGATCTGTGAACCCTCCCGAAATTTGGACCTCTCGCCGCCGCTTCCGCTGGCCCCCCACCAGCGGAGCGACGACAATAAAAGGGTCGTACACACCACGACATGGCAACCTTACGCCGCGGCTGTAGCGGGCTGCCAGCGCGGCACGCTGGATTGGAAACAAGAGCATGATGAGGAACATCCTGGAGGCCTCGCACGGCAACTTGAAGACCAACTTACGTCGGATCCACGTCGGGTGTACGTCGAAGCGTATCGGATTTACGCCGGAACATCGCACAGCGAACGTCGTCCCATATCTGACGGGGCCGGACGCGCGGACACGAGCATCCAACCATTGCGCGCCGCGCGAGGCCTCCAGGACCTCCCTGGTCCAAATCCCCTGCGCGCCAACGAAGGCGCAGCCGACGCGCTTCCCTTGCGCCGCCCGGGTGGGCCCGCCCGATCGCTCTGCTCCCGCCAGCTCCCGCCGAGGGCGCCCGGCGCGCCGAGGGCGCCACCCCCTGTCCTGCCGCAGGGCCCGACGGCGGCAAGAGGGGATGCAGCATCGTGAGCCAGCTGCGGCCCAAACCCTGGGCCCCCAGCTCCCTGCGGCACTCCTCGAGCCGGGTCCAGCTGCGAGGGCCCGGCCCTGAGGGCGCATCCGCCGTGCCGTTCTTGGGCGAATGCTTGGCAGGGCGGAGATGTCCGCCCGTCTTGTCGAGCGCATTTGCTGTCGAACTCCGCCCTGCTCTGCCATCACTGCTGCCGCCAGACATCCGCCGCAACATGCGCCCTACTTTTCCGAGAGACACATCCAGTCGATAGATACCCATCATGTTTGGGATGTCATCGCTCAGGATTCTGCAAGCTGGACGCACCTGATCCTGTCTGAACGGAAATCGGAGGAACGTGAGCCGCCGAGGCCTCCCCGTAGTCCCGTCCTGCTCCTCGACATCCTTCTCATGTTCCCTATTCATCCGGCTTCACCTCCGCACTTCTCACTCCCTCCTCGTTTTTCTTCCCTCCTCGCTCTTCCCTTGCTCTATTCTAGGGTACCTAGGCGCGCACGGCAGCCTCAGAATCCTCCAAGCGCGTCCCAAGATGCTCCCTGAAAGCTTGCGTGCGTTTCTTATTCGGCGTTTCGACATTGGGCGGAAGGGGGGGGGGGATCTGGCTCCAGACCTCTGCTGAGTGCGACTGTGTGCAACAGTGCGTCCTATGGGGGATGCTCCACCTGCTCGAAACAGGCGCCAAAAACAGCCAAGATCTACTCCATGGGGGGAAGGGGGGGGGCGAGGTCCCCCGCCGATCGGCAGAAAAACGATGACAAAGCGATGTTTCGGGATGTCTGAAATCTGGAACGTTACTGTCATACTGGCCCCCTCGCTAGAACTGTCTGACTAGCCGCAGGAGGTCTATAGGTTTGAAGACAATCCCCCTGTTTCTCTCGGCGGGGAATACACTCCGCCCTTCCTCCTCCTCCTGCACCTCATCCTCCTCCTGCTCCTGCTCCTCCTCCTCCTTCCGCCTCCTCCTCCTCCTCCTCCTCCTCCTCCTCCTCCCCTCCCCCTGCTCCTCCTCGTGATTGTTTGATTACTGTTATCGTCGTCGTCGTCATCGTCGTCGTCGTCGTCGGCGGCGGCGGCGTCGGCGTCTTCGTCTCGTCGTCGTTTTCGTCGTCGTCGTCGTTGCGGCGAAACTTCTTTTGCGCCTAGTGTTGGGTGGGTTGGACAGTTTTGGTGCGTTGTTTCCCCCAGGGGATAATCCATTCTACTGAGCTGACCTGCACGCGAGAGGATTTGTGAACATCTCCTCATCAATATTGCAGCAAGAACCACTGGATGCGATCGCAGTCGTGAATTGAACCGTGGTTGCAATCGTACTATCGTCCTCGTCGTCGCTGCCCCACGGCGCCGTCGTCGTCGAGGGCCCCCGCCCCGGCCCAGATCGAAGACCCCCCCCGCCCCCCCCTCCCCGTGCCATCCTGGGCGAGGGCCTCTCCCTCCCAGTTTGACCCCCCCCCCTTTCCAAGCGTCCACAGAACGCGAACGCGCCCTCTCCCATATGTGAATCTCAGACTCCTGTCACGTCTCGCTGAGGAGCTCTGTCTGCGAGTGAGCATCTGGGTGTGAAAGTGAACCCGCGTAGACGACGGGCGCGACAACGACGACGTCGACGACAGCGACGATCGTTGCTCCCCCGCCTCTGAACATAATTCGGGAGAGACGAGGGAACACACAAGCAGAAGAGCAAAAATAATTGCTCGTGCCGTTCTCACTGCTGCAACTCGGGTAAGAGCGCATGGTGTTGCTGCGCCCGCCCTCTGGCGTGCTACTCGCGGTGCCTGATGGCCCTTGGGTCGCCCAAGTGCCACGCGTGCAACTTCGTGGTAACAACATGTGTGTGACAAGTGTGAGTGAATCTGAGCGTGATTGAGCCGAGTATAACCGAGTCTGAGTGCAAATGCATCCAAATATGATTGAATCCGCCGCTCCCTTGGGGTCACGGCGTGTGAGATGCTTCCCCCTCCCCAAACCCCTCTCCCGGGAGCCCGGTTCGGCCGGTTTGGAGGGGGGGGGGGCAGGCAAAAGTGTCGGCCACACCCTTGGAGCCTCAGGGGGCCCCAAAACGTGCCAAAGGGCCCCAAAAGGCCCCCCCCGGACGGTCCAAGAGGGCTACGAGTCGCCGAAAGATCGCTCCAAGACACCGAAAATCGCCTCCAGACGGTCCCAGAGGCCCCCAAGACGCCCCAAGAAGGCCAAAAGAGGCGTCCCAAGAGGCCCTCCAGAAGCAACAATCGTCCCATGCACTAGGGAAACGTATATTGTTAGCACATTCGCCTCTTGGGCTTTCACGAGGCCCACAACGGCCCAAGAAGCCTTTAAGATCGACCCGAGATAGTCCAAGAGGCCCCCAAGAGGGCTCCAAGACGGCCCCAGAGGGCCCCAAGACAGCCACAGAAGCTTCCAAAACAACCCAGGAGGAACACAGGACGGCCCCAAGAGGAGGCCCAGAGGGGAACCTAAATGAACATTCCGAGCACTCGGCCCCGAAAAAACCGGAGGCGCCAAATGGCCCCTAAGAGGCTCCCACGAGGCCCCCGAGAGGCCCCAAAGAGGCTCCTAGAGGCCTCAAGACGGCTCTCAAGAGGCCTCAAAAGTGCTGCCAGGAGAGCCCAAAGAAGGCCCAAGAGCAGAGCGGCGATCCGCCAACCGCCCCCGACGAAATCCCAAGAAGCTGAAACCTCAAGATTCCCCAGAAATCGTTCCGCAAACTCCGTTTTTCCCGTTTTTCACTCTTACTGCCGCCCCAAGGGGTCGGCGGTGCGGCGTCAGCCAATGAACTAGAACATTGTTTGAGTTTGGTGGGCCTATGGTCACGCCAGAACGCTTCGCCACTCTTGGCCCTATTCCGAACCACCTTTTGATCGCCCCCCCCCCCGGGGCCGGAGAAGAGGGCCTCCAGAGGCCGAGCACGCGGAACAAAAACCTGCCGTGCCACCCAAGGCGCAATGGGGTCGCCCCCCCGGAACCGTCCCGAGGTGTGCGCTCTCCGACCCGAACCTCGAGGCGGACCCAGCCGTAGCGACGGGGGCCCCCAGAGGCCCAACTGGACCCGGAAACGCCCCCCCGCAAAATTCTAGAGGACGAGAAAACGGCATAAACATAAGCTGTTCGAGCTCGGCGCGGATTTCTTGGATCCGCGCTGGGTCCCCCTGGTGGCGCCTCCAGCGCCGCCCCTGGCGCGCTCCGCACGCCAGGGAAGGGGGCCCAGCGCCGATCCAAGAAATCTGCGCGCAACTCCGAAAATTCATGTGTATACCGTTTTTTTGTGATATGGGACTCTGAAGCTTCCGTGCCCTGTTGTGTGGTTCGTTTGTTTGTTGTTCGCTCGGTTTGTCTGATTTTCCCTTGAACGCGGATGGCAATCCAAGATAGCAATCGATGACCACAAGTTGCGGTTCCACTCGTCTGTCGTGAGTGTGTTTAGCACGAGGGGCTCGAGCCCAGAGTGGAGCGCTACGCATCAACACCAAGACGTATCAAAGCCACTGGGGGAGGGAGAAAGGGGGATGGAGGAAGGGGGAGGGAGGGAAAGGAGAACCACCCGACGAACGCGGCGTGCCCAAGGCTCGGCCCTGCTCGAGCTCCCGCGCTGCTCCTGCAGTACCCTGGAGGTCCGAGGAGGCGGGGGGGGGGGGAAGGGACACGCGAGCGACAGAGAGAGTGACAAAGGGAGAGAGAGAGAGAGGGAGAGAGAGAGAGAGAGAGAGGAGAGAGAGAGAGAGAGAGGGAGAGGGAGAGGGAGAGAGAGGGAGAGAGAACAAAAAAAAAAAAAACAGGGCAGGGCAGCGGCGGCAGACAGCGGCCGCGACGAGGCGCCGCGCCCCCCCTCAGCGCGTGCACTGCGGCCACGACGCAGCCGCCGGCCGCCACGCCGCCGCGGGGCCGTAGGTGCCTCCGCGCTGGCGGAGGAGAGGGGGAGAGGGGGGAGGGGGGAGAGGGGGGGGGGGGGGGGGGGGAGGGGGGGGGGGGGGGGGGAGGGGGGGGAGAGGGGGGAGAGGGGGGGGGAGGGGGGGGGGAGCGGCGGGGAGCCCGCCGCCGCCGCCGCCCGTCCTCCTCGTCGGCGCCACGCCAAGGCCACGGCGTAGGGAGCACGTGCAGCACGCAGATGGCTCCGTGCCTCGGAGGGGCCGAGCATGCGCGCACCAATGCGTTTGCCGAGTCCGCAACGTGCGGAACACGTGCAGCACGCAGATGGCTCCGTGCCTCGGAGGGGCCGAGCATGCGCGCACAGAGTCGTTCGGTCGGCCAGGGAGCAAGGAGCTCGGCGAAGGGATTCGATGCAGAGACGCTCTAGAGTCCCACAGGTTGAGCAGCTGGGGCATCCATACACCGAGCTCCTTGGCCGAAGAGAACCATCCAAAACGACGCAGGGCGAAGCGCTGGCCTTGGGGAACGGGTTGTAAGTTCTGTTGAGCAGGGCCCGATCGTCCCAACATTCCTGTAGGCCTACCACGAAAGAATCGTAGAGCAAGTGGAAGTTTTGAGAAATACGTCACTGGTCCTAGAACGTAGAACCGATTGATTGAATCAGGACTGCTTCAGCCAAACATGCTCTGAAAACATGCCGTGCACACCATCAAAATTCAGTAGAACATGCTTTAAACTCTAAAAGGACCTAGGGAAGAAGTCAGGGCGCTTCGCCAATGCTTGATTCTGGCGATCCCCCACTGAACAAAAAACAGGACATAGGACGTACTGGGCCACAGTCGTCCTGCAGGGGCTCGAGCGTCCCCCCTGGGCGATGTGGCCCAAGGGGGGCGTCCCTTGGGATGTGGCTCCACCAACAGTGTGCGCTCAAACCCAGACTCCGGGCGTCCCGAGGTGGGCCCTGAGGCCGCCTCTCCTGGCCACGTCTGGTCAGGGGTACGGATGGCCTCCCCTGATCGTCATCGTCCAGACGCCTCCCACATGGGGTCCGAGCAGATGGGGTCGGAGGATCACGCCGCATCGGCGATGCATCGGCGACGAAGCGGGAACCTCCGACCCCAGTTGCTCAGACCCCATCCGGGCAGCCAGGAGAGGCCGCCTCTCATCCTCGTGGCCTAAGAGGGGGTCCAGCTTAAGGGTGGTGGCGCAATATATTTGGGGCAATTGTATTGCAAATGTATTGCGCCAGGGACATGTATTGCATTGGATTGTAACTAATGCATTGCACGCGAGAGTCCAGCAATACATTTGCGTCCCAGAATGTATTGCGCGTCCCATACGCCTGCCCTCTGAGAGGACCGCCCCGTAGGGGGCTGGAGCGCGGGTCGCATCGCATCGCATCGAATCGCATCGCAAATCTACTGCAACGCCACAAATCTATTGCACCAACTCTCTTGCATCATCCCCTTCTCGCTGGACCCTCTTTTGGGCCAGCCAGATGCCATGGGTACGTCTGACCAGGGGTACGGTTGGCCTCCCGTCATCGTCGTCGTCGTCACCGCCGTCGTCGTCGTTCTGTACTTTTTCTTCGCCAGCTCGTTCCGCAGGGGCTCGCTGGGGGAGGCTAGTGGATGTTTCTCGAGGGTTCTCGTGGCAACGGCTGGATGCGTCAGGCAGGGTCCGGGGACTGCGACGAGGATCCAATACCCAGACCTCCAACGCATACAACAAAACAATCAAACATGTTCGCCATTTTCGGCCTATAGAGGGCCCTCGCCGGGCCTGGAGACCTTCAAAACTCGGCACAGGATGGAAAGACTGGCACTGCGTGGACGGGGCGGTATGGAAAAAACATGGCATCGGATCCCTGGTCCAAAGATCCAAATTTCTGTTGGCCTCTCGGGACAGGTGGAGGCTTCCGCGAAGACCTTCGGAGGCCTCTGGGGACCCCCCGAAGACCTACGGCTCTCCGTCGACAGCGACCATCGTCGTCGTCGCTGTCGTACCTAGGTCGGACCTAGAATGAAATACCGAGGTGCCCCAGGAGCTGATAGGTCAGTGATCCTCATATAAAGGGATTCGGGGCACCCGATGCCAGGGCTGCTGTGCCCGTTGGTCGGGCGGATGAAGTAGGTGTCATAGGGCATATCAGAGTACCTCATCTTCTTAACCTGCAGCCTGTTCTTTTTCATTCCGGACTCGTCTATCATGCCGATGAGCTCCAAGACAGCGTAGGCCTGATACAGTCGGACCTATGCCGGAAAAACATCCCTCAAGAACATGAGACCCTCCGTCGGCCAAGCCAAAGTGAACAGAGCATCTAAAGGTACCCCCTCCCCAGGATGCACACGAACGCCCAACAACACACGAAGCGCGCTCGGGAGCCCTCCTGGAGCCGACCTCGATCCGATACGTCGGTCCGACTGCGTGTTGATGCCGTGCCTTGCTCTGGGCGCGGGGGCCACGCCTCGGCGCCCAGAGGGAGGGAGGAGGAGGAGGAGGAGGAGGAGGAGGAGGAGGAGGGAGGAGGAGGAGGGGAGGAGGAGGAGGAGGGAGGAGGAGGAGGAGGAGGAGGAGGGAGCGCCTGCCGCCCACGCCTCGGCGCTGCCGGGCGGGAACCGCTGGCTGGCCGCCGCGCCGCCGCGGTGCCACTGCGTCTCCGCCGCGGGCGGGCCGCCGCGCGCCGCGGGAGGCGCGCCTCCGAGCATCGGAGGACCGATGTGCTCCTCCTCGTCCTCCTCCTCGTGCTCATGCCTCCCTCCTGCGCCGCCTCCTCCTCCTCCTCCTCCTCTTCCTCCTCCTCCGCCTCCTCCTCCTCCTCCTCCTCGTCCTCCTCCTCGTGCTCCTGCCTCCCTCCTACGCCTCCTCCTCCTCCCCATGCTCCATGCCTCCTCCCTGCCTCCTCCTCCTCCTCCTCTATACCTCGTCCCCGTCTTCTTCCTCGTCCTCACCCCTCTGAACATCGTTGATCCGATCCCTATCTTCACTGGCGTGGCCTTGGCCCCACTGGCCGACTGACCCACTCGGGTATGGACATATGATATACACGCCTGCTCCCAAGCACCCTGGCGCCTCAAGAGGTGAGGTGCCAGGGTGCTTGGGACTGAACAGAATCAGGACTAAGGTGTTGCAGTGTTTGCGACCTCAACAAAATCAGGACTGAGGCGTTGCAGTGTTTGCGGCCTCTCCCCGCAGCGGGCCTCGGGACCGTCGACAAAATGGCTCGGGGTGGACCACGGGCCCCAGGCCGTGCCGATGTTGTCCGGGGACCCGTGCCCCCCAGCAACATCGGCACGGCGGATGTCTGTGTTCGGCGTGCCCAGCCCACGCCTGGAAGGGTGCGCTTATTATGGGGCTGAGATGCGGTGGCCACGCGGGGGTGCGGATCGGTTCGGCGGTGCTGAGCGCCGAGGGGCGGCGACGCGGCGAGGACGCCCTGCAGCACGAACTCGATCTCCCACTCCTGGCCCGCAGGATCGGGGATCGAGGATCTGGGGCGGTGCAAACGGGATGCTAAAAAAGGGGCAGTTGGGCTTCGGAAGGGGCTCGCCGTGGCTGCTCCTCAAGCACTCCTCGTGCCCCGCCGAGGGGCTTGGGGCCAAAGATAGCGTCGTTCTTGGATGCGGCCAGGGGCTCTGAACTGAATGGACCTGGAGAAACGATGACAAGAAAGGGGGAGAAGGGCAAATTCGCTAAAAAGCTGTCCCCAGACCCCTCCTGGGGTCCACTCTGGATCCGTTGTTGACGGTTCAACGGCCCCTGGAGACCGAAACGGCAAAAAACAGTCCCGAACCCAGAATCTCGAACCTGCCCCCCCCCCTCCTGCCTGCCAGACACATTACCGGGCCACATCAGAACCGCAGCCGGCTCCAGCCCGCCACGGCGGGGTTGCTCCCTCAGCACTCCTCGTGCCCCCAGATCGGGAAGGGATGGGAGGCAGGGAAAGCGATGGGGCTTCTCGGAATCCCTCGCGCCTTCTGGGACACCGTCTCTGACATCGGACAAGGCTCAGAACACTTCTCATGAGGCCGGATGCCTTCCATGAAGGGGCCCTGGGACACACAAATAAATATACACAAAGAAACATATCCCCCATAATTTCCCATATTTTCTGGGTTTTGTCTTCCCCCCCACTTCCCATATTTTCCCATATTTTCATGGGAATGGACGATTAATTGTGTCTGTGTGTTTTTTCCCCTCCTGATTCCAAGCCTTCTGAGAAGCCCCGCCCCCCAGGACTCCCCCCCTGGGCTCGCCGTCGACAGACACGCCGTGAGCCCACGGAGGACTTCGTGCCTGTCTCTGGCGCCCCTTGGTGGTCTCGGCTTGACCGCACCTCCAGGGGAGCCTCTCGCCGCCACTTGGGCGTGGCGCAATGGGGGGGAACGGGGGGGGTCATAAAATGGGGGGGGGCAGAAGCGGTCCCCACTCTCGTGTCCCTTTCGGGCCCCTCCGGAGCCCCGGGGGGCTCGTTGAGGCACCGTTTGGGTACCTTGTCGGACCACCCTCGCCACCCCCCCGTTTACGACCCTAGGGGGCCACACGCGAACCCTACCCCTATACCCCCCACGATTTCTGAGGGGGAGGGGGTGGGGTTCACTTCGCTCGGGAGCTCCCAGACGAAGTGAACCCCACCCTCCCCCTCAGAAATTGTGGGGGGTAGGGGTAGGGTTCGCGTGTGGCCCCCTAGACCCTCCATTACGCAACGCCCGAGCCACGGCCGGATCCGCCTCGAGAGTCCGCTTGGAGCGCACCTCGGGCCAGGCCCGGAGGGGACCCCATGGCCTCGAACATCTCGAAGCCAGCGGGGCGGAAGGCTCTCCCCGGTGTCGGCCTCCAGGAGGCCCTCGACGGGGCCCCATGGACCGCCCAAGGCGACTCCGGATGCGAGGCTGGCCCCAGGGAAAGGATCGGACCTCGGGGACCCCGCATTGAGAAACTGAGGCATGGCAAATCCCGCCACTTGGCACGGAAGAGGTCCTGGAGGAACGAGTCATGTAAGGCCTTGCCCCCCTGGACAGATTCTTGATCCTGAACTGATGTTTGACAGTCTCGGGGCCCAGGGATGGCCCCCAAAAACCTAAAATCGGCAAACGAAAATCCAGGATCAGTTTCCCTCAGGACGGAGTTCCTTCATGGCGAACCCCTCTCTGAATGATCAAGGGTTAAGGATTCCAGGCGTCTCGGGCACTGGGTTTCTCCTCCACGACGACGGCGTCTCCGCTTCGGAAGATTTGACCGCGGGCTTCTGGAGACCCTCGTCGCCATGGCTGAGCGCAGAACGAAAAACTGGCCAGGATCCACCCCAGATCTGGTTGACGTGCACTGGGGACAAGGCAAAGGGGGGTCTTCTATCATGGGACGACAGTGACGTCATGATACGATCGACCCGGGATACGTTCAAGGAGTCCCACATTGTACAACGGCCCTCGTTTCCAGAATAGGCGCGGATCATTATGGAGAATCTTAAAGCGTAGCAGTAGCACGAGTTCTTGCTCCTATGACAAGAGAGCAAGAGGCTTCTGAGGAGCTCTCTCACCTTCCGAGATGCCTTCTCAGAAGCCCACTGCTCTGGCGCCGCCCTTCCCTGACACCCAAGATGACCCCCAAGACCGCCAGCAGGCCCCCAAGAGGTCACCAGTGGGCACCAACGCCTGAGACCCCAAGAGGCCTCAACGGGGCAACTGGTCCACGGCCTAGGCACGGTGGCAATACGGGCGGAACCCCGACACGCTTCCAGCATCCATGTGGTGAACAATCACGGGGACGAAGAAATCAACCAGCCTTCAGAAGCACAGCGACTACGAAAACATGTCGCCCTTCAGAAGCAAACCCCAGCCTTCCCAGGAGCCACCCCTGGAAGCTTTCTGTGAAGGGGGTAGTCACTTCAAAGAAGCTCGCTGCCTTCTTGCAGCGGAGGGCCTACTTCTCACCACCACCCACAGCATAGACCTGGGACGGCTGACCCGTGCTGGTGCGCTGTTGCACGAGGCGCCAGCTGCGCCCAACTAGGCACTTCCACAGGTCAGCGGCCCGTGGCCTATGGTGGTGGTACTGCGAGGCCAGAGCCTAGTGCGTACCCACCGCCTGGGGCCGATGCCCGAGGACCACGACCCCATGGGCTCAGAGGGCCCGAACATGTCTTGAGCAGGGACCGACCGTCCCGGCATTCCTAGCCTACCACGAAATGTTCTTGGAAGCCACAAAAGTTCTAATACTAGAAACAATACCTTTAGCACAGAAACCCGACTTGTCAACACAAGACTGTCTCAGCCAGAAATGTTAAACGAACATGTCGCGCAGACCACAAAAGGTTCTTAGAACATTATTTGGTGGGCCTGTAGGCGAGCCAGGACGCTTCGCCACTGCTTGAATGTCCACACCCACCGCCAACCTGGGATCCCCAGGCTCGTGCCGTGCCGTGCCGCTGCGGCGGCCGCGCCAGAGCGGTCTGGAGGCTGAGCGCTGCCAGGGATCGAGAGCAGGCCCAAGGCACTCAGGACAGAGAGCGCCGCCCTCGCCTGCTCCCCCCCCCCGTCGGCTGTACGGTCGGACCCGGGCCAGAAGATCCCTCAAGAACATGAGACCCTCCGCAAGCCAGAACACACGGAACATCCAAGGGTACTCTCCGCAGTGTGCACAAACACATCCAACAAGCACGAAACACATTAGGCACCCTCCCCGAACCGACCTCGATCTGATACACCGGTCCGACTGTTCACGCAGGAGTGGCCCTGGTGCGCGGCTTTGGCTTTCGGGGGCTGCGGGGGGGGGGGCAAGTCCACGAGCGCAGCCTGGTGCCAGTGGGGGCCCCCGCGAGCCCGCACCAGAGGCCAGTCCGGCGAAGGCCCCCACGCCGCTGGCTCCTGCATCGCCCGCGTTCCGGCCGCGGCGTGTCCCCAGCCGCGCGGGAGGCGGCCGCATCCCTCCGCCGCCGCCTCCGCGGGCCGCGGCTGCCAGCCCCGGGCCACAGGGCAGCCCTGCCCCGCGCCCGTGCCCGCGGAGGCGCTGGAGGACGAGGCGCTGAGCGCCGTGGTGGGCGCCTCCCAGCTGGTGCGACAGCGTCGAGGGAGGAGAAGGGAGGAGGGAGGAGGGAGGAGGGAGGAGGGAGGAGGGAGGAGGGAGGAGGAGGAGGAGGAGGAGGAGGAGGAGGACGAGGCGCTGAGCGCCGTGGTGGGCGCCTCCCAGCTGGTGCGCGGGGCCGACAGCGTCGACTGCGAGCCCGCCTCCGCCGACGGCTCGGCCCAGGGCAGCTTCGCGCCGCCGTGCCGCGCGCCGCCGCCCCAGCCGCGCGGCACGGCGGCCTCCTCGGGGAAACCAGAGAAGATACCGGATACTGCTGCCCCCCAGACCTCTTCAGGGGTGCGCTCTGACCAGGGTTTCGAGGCGAATCCAGCCGCGGCGACGAGGGCCTCCCCAGGAAGCCCCCGAGAAGGCGAAAACGACGGAGAGGTACAGTTATGGCGGTATCGGTGCCGTTTCCTCCTCTCCTCCTCGTCCTCCTCCTCCTCCTCCTGTTCCTCCTCCTCCTGTTCCTGAGCTGGCCTATCGTGATCGGGAGGCCTCTGGGGCCATGAAAGCATTGAGGCGTGCGGTATCCAAAGCACCTGGGAAAGATATGCCACCCAAGCTTCTCCTCCCCGATGCGTTGTCCGTCAATGCCGCACTTTACGCAGCAGGCTCTTGGTATGAAATGACCAAGGCTGAGACGCTACGCCTGCAGTCGCGGTACATTCGGCGATATCGCGGACTCCTTAGATTGCCACGGTATGAAGCAGGGGGACCTTCTGATCTGGCAGTTCTTGCGCGGGCGGCTCGACCGACCGCTAGCACGATCATTCGGGTTTCCTGGTTGCGGCTCTTTGGCCGGGTGTTAATGTCTGCCCCCCGGCCTCTCCTGGCACTGCTTAGCGCAGAGTTCGATGCATCCAACAAGTCCTGGTTTCATACCATTCGTGAGGATTCGATGTGGCTTCGTGCTGCGCATCCGAAGTTTAAAGAGTTTGAGCTGGCGAATGCAGGCGTGGAGCCTTGGATGGCGGAGATACGGAAGTCGCCTGGTGGATGGAAGCGCGCTCTTCGTGCTGCCATTCGGACGTCTGTGTCTCGCCTCCAGCGTGACGTACAGGCCTCTCAGTGGCAACAGCGAATACTGACAGTCTTGACAGCTAATGGGTTACCTCCTCGGCGTGACCTTCCCCCTCCGCGCGAGTCCTCTAAATATAGCTGCCATTTCTGTCCGCTGGCGTTTGCTGAGGTGCGTTCGCTCGATGCCCACATCAGGCGTGAGCACTTCACTTACATCAACCTGGCACGCACGAGGGTGGATACCCCGTGGTGCGCGTGCTGTTTAGAGGTGTGTGCCAGCCGCTCGCTGCTGCTGAGACACATCACGGCCTGGAGGCCGACGTGTTTGTTTTTTACCTCAAGCACGTTGCGCCGCTGCCTCAACAAATTCGAGAGGAGCTCGCTGCAGAGGAGAGGGCCCAGAATCAGGCGCGTCTGCGCCAGGGTTATTCGGCCTCGAGAGGCCGCTTCCCGTCTTGTACAGCCCCTGGTCCCCTCCCCCTTGTGGCGATTGCAGCTCAGGCCAACTATCTTCGAGCAGTAACACACACAATTATGTCAGAGATGGTCGAGCAGATCACGGGATGGTCCAGGCAGTCTCTTGTGCCCCACGTGTTGGTTCTGCCTGAGGTTGCCTGGGATCCCAAACCATCTGAAATCCAGTGGCCGTTTGAGGCCTCAGCGTTTTCCGGTGTTCTGTGCGTCCAAATACCGAAGCGCATGTTGCGCCGACAGGTCTTCGTTGCCAACCTCTTTTGTGGGCAGCGTATACCTGGAGACGTTCAAGAGGCCATAGAGTTGGCCATGACGACTTACACGCCTTCCTTTGAGCTGGTTGTTTTGTCTGTAGACATCTTGCTGGACGCGAACTCGGCGACCTGAGAAACAGCAGCTCCATTGAATATTTTTCCGCACACCTGCGTGCGGGGCGTATCATTGCTCTAGGAGAGGGGCCCTCCTCTGAGACGGTCTGTGCAGCGCGGCGGAGAGAGGGGGGCTCCCCTCCCCTCAGGGGCTGGCAGGCTCCTTGGGGGGTGACAGAGCTCACCCACCGCCAACAGCTGCAGGCTGCTGTTTCCAATGATTTGTTGCAGGCCATGGTTGAGCTTATGTGTGCTATGACGGTTGCGCAAGGATGTGCATGGATGGAGCATCCGTCGCCCCCGTCGTATTGGAAGCCTCGCTCTGTTCCTTCGTGGAGCCTCCTTCCCCTTCAGGCCCTTTTTGCTGCCCCGTGCTCTACGTTCACCACTTTCGATCAATGTGAGTTTGGTCAAAGCGGCCGAGACCCCACTGCCCTATTGGGCATTCGCCTCCCTGATCTCCCCTCCCTGTCGCGTAGCACCCCTGGTGGAGGATTCTCCTCCCACGGCAGGCGTGCTCATACGATCTTGGTACGGTGGGATCCCATCCTCAAACGATGGAGGACGGCCCCCCAAAAAGGTGTACCCGCCAGCGTTGTGTAAGGTTTTAGCCACCGCTATGTTGAAGGCTCTCCTGCCATCGTTATTCGGACAATCGGCCGTCTTGGAAGGTTCAGACGAAGCCTTGGAGGCTACTAAAGACACGGGGCCAGACTTTGCAGCTATTTCCCCATCCCCTCGGCCCCAGTCAGCGCTCGCTCGGATTTCAGCAATGCTTAGGCCTGAGGGAGGAGGGGGGGTGCCTTATGAGGAAGAGGAGTTGGAGGGCACCCACTCAGTTGCGATGCACGGAGTCGCGGCTGATGAGGCGTCGTTCGCCGCCTTTGGAGAATGCCCCCCCTCCTCCACGCCTGAATCTCCTCCGCCTCCTCCTCCCCCTCCCCTCCCCCCAGACGTTCGCGAGCGAATTGCTGCAAACAGAGCTGAAGCGTTGAGGCGTCGACGTGCTGGCTCTCGCGAACGCAGGCGCGTGCACGTGCAAGTGGCAGGATGATTCTCCCATCCAGTGCCAGAGCAGCCTAAGGAGCTCGTCTTAGTGCAGAGTGATTTGCTTAGATGGTACACACTTGCGACTTCCAACCCATAGGGGGGGTCTCCGAGCTGTTATACTATTGGAGGGTGGGGCTGGGGATAACTGTGCTGACGCAGTTGTTTCGTGCTTCCACCCATCTAGCCGCGTCTCTGTGAACGCGTGTCAGGTGCCGCTTGGGAGTTCGTCCCGTGCGGATTTTGTGCACAGGAGGCTCTGTGGCTCAACGTACTCATAATTGGGGTCCTTTGTAAGTGTATATGCGTATTGATTTCAACCTGGTGGGGGGGGATCTCGCTGTTTTCCCTGGATAGGCTCAGCCGTTCGTGCCCTTCCGAGGCTCGCCATCCGTCCTTGACTCCCTCCTCCCCCCGTCGGCGGCGGCAGCGCGGCGGCGACCCCGCGCCGCGCCCGCCGCAGACGCGCGGCAGGTTGCTGGTCTTCGCCCACCTCCAGTCCCTCTACGGCGTTTAGGCCGAAGAAGAGGAGGAGGAGGGGCCTTGGGTGAATGTTTGTTTTCACCCGTAAGATCTGGCTGATTTGCCCTCCTGAAACTTGTTCTCTGCTGGCCCACACTTGGGCCTCTGGGCTGTGGCTTATGTGCCTCAACACCCCGGTAGCCTTCTCACGAGGAGATTTCGAGGAATGCCTGACCTGACCTGACCTGACCTCTTGTTCCTCCTCCTCCTCCTCCTCCTCCTCTCCTCCTCCTCCTCCTGCTCCCCTGCTCCTGGGCCGCCAGCGCGGGGGGCGCGGGCGAGAGCAGCGAGCGCAGGAACGCGCGGAGGCCCTCCTGTGGAGCGCCGCGCGGGTCGCCGGGCAGTGCGCACACGTCCCAGGGGGCCTCGCGCCCCTGCGCCCGCAGGCGGAGCCGCGCGAAGTCCGCGAGCCAGTCCACCAGGTCCTCGTGGGCGATGTCGTCGCAGTCGCTCCACAGGTCCGCGGCCGCCGGGCTGACGCCCCGGAGGCCGCCGTCCGCGGTGCCCTCCGCCGCGGCAGGCTCCGCGCCCTCGCCGGCGCGCGGCGCGGGCGAGCTGCTCCTGGGGAGCACGCGTAAGATATCTACCTGTGCCGCTTCGTACCCGCTGCTGTTCCTCCACGGACCTCTTGTGGGGTGGTTTCTGACCAGGGCTTCGAAGCGGATCCTGCCGTGGGCGAGAGAAGGGTGGCGTGAGGCTGCAACCCGAGTGAGCCTCCCATGCCATTTTCTTGACTCTTGCGAATCGACCCTCATCGACGCTAGATCGACGCTAACCAGCGCGGCAACCGACGCCATACATTGTCGCTATCTCGTCGACTACAAGACGCTCATCGACGCTACTGCAATCTGAACACGGAATTGCGAGAACACCCAATGCTCCCATGATCTGCGACCGGAGAAGGCATTCCTCTTCTCGCTCCCCCCCCTCGATCGCCGCTGAATACGGTTTTGGGGTCATAACTCGGGTCTCCGGCGGCCGTTCGGGACGATCCGGGCATCCCCAGAACGCCCTAGGCAAGGCGCAGCCGCTGGAAAGCATCCCGAGGGCGGACGGCCGCCAAGAGACTACGAAGACGCCCGAAGACCTCGAACCTCGAGGTTCGAACCTCGAAGACCCCCCCCCTCGCTCGCCGCCGATCTAACTATGTATGTTCCTCCACTGAGCTCGAAGCTCCTGCAGCCGCGCGCCGCAGAAGACAGGCGCGTGCCGGGGCAGCAGCGCGGCACCTGCGCGAAGCAGCCGCCCTCTCGGGGGCAGGATTTTTGACACCCTCCACCACACCACCGCCGGAGCGCGTTTTTTTTGCGTCTCGGATCGTCGTGATCGTCATCGTGGTTGTCGTCGTCGTGGTCGTCGTCGTGGTCGTCGTCGTGGTCGTCGTGGTCGTCGCCGTGGTCGTCGTGGTCGTCGTCGTGGTCGTCGGGGTGAGGACGGGGCAACTCGCCATCGCTCGGGCGTCAGTTCCCCGTGCACTCTTCCGTTCCGTGCGCCTCTGCTTTCGCAAGCTGGCCCGGAAAGCTCCTCGGTGGACCTCGCCGAGGAAAAGTGCACTCCGTCCGAGCGATGCCCAGATAAGTTATCTGGGCATCGCTCGGCCGTTTCTGGGGCTGTCCTCCCCCTCCCCCGACCCCTCGCGTGGTAACGTCGCGCTTCGCGCGGGCGCCGTCTGGGAATTGCTGGGGGTGGTGAATTCCCAGACGGCGCCGGCGCGAATCGTGACCCGTTACCAGCCTTCTCGCGGTCCCTAATTAGTTGGGGGGCGGAAAGATACGGATACGTGTTGTCCCCGGACCTCTCTTGGGGCGCGTTCTGACCAGAATTTCGAGGCGAATCCAGCGGTGACAACGAAGATTCCCCAGGAGGACCAGGAAAGGCCGAAAACGAAGGGGGACAACACGTATCCGTATCTTTTTTCCCCCGAATCAGTCGGTCCCGGGCCCCAATTAGGGCGCCCAGGCGGTCCCGGGCCTTGATCATTAGGACGCCCATCGATGAAGGATGAAAACACAGGCCCCGGCCCCTAGCCTTAATTAGGGCGCCCAATCGGTCCCGGGCCCTAATTAGGTCGCCCAGGCGGTCCCGGGCCTTGATCATTAGGACGCCCATCGATGAAGGATGAAAGCACAGGCCCCTGCAGGATGGATCTCCGGGGACCTCGGCAGGCGGTGGCCGTGGACACGTGGACACTAGGCCCATAGATCCGCCGCCCGCCGAGGTCCCCGAAGATCGATCCCCTGCAGGCGGTGTCTTTCGGACCAATCCCCGCCTCGCAGTTGAGAGGGAACGATAAGGGGGGGACACACTCAAGGGGGGGGGTGGGGGGAAACATGGAGCGTGAACCGGCAACACATCGCCGATAGGTCAGCGATGTGCCTCTGATAGCGAATCCGCACGTTTCTGGGCGGGATGAGGCCATCAAGCCCCTATCTGCGATGAATGCGCGATTGGGGTTGATGCATCACCCCGAAAGCCTACCAGACCCCTATCCATGCCCCTCGTGGTTCTCGGGTCACAGCTCGGCTCTCTGGCGGGGCCGTTCGGGACGAGCCGGGCACTCCCAGAACGCCCTCGACGAGGCGCAGCTGCTGAAGGCACCCCTCGACTGGACACCCGCGGGGAGCCGGCATAAACGACCGAAGACCTCTCGGTCGCAGGCGCCCGGCCCGGCCGTGGCGCCGCCGTGCGGGGGCGCGGCCTCGGGGGGGCCGCCTGGGGCGGCGTCTGCGCCCGCGCGGCCGGCGTCCTCGTCGGCGGCCGAGCCAGCGGGCGAGGAGCTGCGGTTGGGCGACGGCGCGTGCTCGAAGTACTGCCTTTCGGAGCATCGTTGCACCGCTCCCTCTATCCCCACTGGCGTGGCCTGGGCCCCACTCGCCGATTCACCACTCTGGATAGGGCTGTAGGCTCTTCCCGTCGGGTTTCGAAGGGCCTATCGCCAACTGGGGTGACCGGATAGTGGGGCTGAGATGCCGTGGCCTGATGGGGATGGGGACAGGTTGAACAATTCTGACTTTGGATGCCCGAGATGGACACGATAAAAATGGGCACGATGCCCAACAACATATCCTGCCCAACACCGACAGCGGCTGCTGTCGGGCAGGCGGCCTGTTGTCTCCAATGATTCAAGTGGACAAAGACCACGGCGACACCAACAACGGCTGTTCAAAATGAGCAGGGGATGATGTCGGTCTTCGTACCCATTGTCTCCGTACCCATTTCGATAATAAGGTCGCCTGAACACTGACCACGGGTGAGCTCGTGGTCCCGGCTGCGGGCAGGACTGGAGCCGCTGTTTCTTGTCGGCGCAAATCGATGAAGCTTCGGATGGACCGGTGGGCAGGAGTGGCAGTGGGATTGAAAGAGAGAGAGAGAGAGAGCGAATTGGACATTAATCGCCCACATATCAAACATGCTATGGGTTTCCTGCCAGCCTACACGCACCGAGCCAACTCTGCCTGAAAGTTCATGTTATGCTGAGGGGCCTCGAGAACTATACATACCCATAGCTCGTACTCCTCTGAACGGCCACTGGGCGGGATCGGTCTCGGGAGCGAGAGTGCAAGGAGGAAGGCAGCCACAACCAAACCAAAGAGGAGGCAGGAGTGGCATCGAGGCTTAATCAGGGTTTGGAGAACTGTGTGTAGAGGCTCACGCTTTGGAGAGCTGGCCAGTCTTTCGGGCTTGGTTCGTCCGTGGCCGTACCTCTTCCTCCTGCTCCTCGCTCTTCATGCTGCAGCGTGAGAGGCGAGGGACGGGACGTACAGGGAACGGGACGTAGAAGGAACAGGACGTAGAGGGAATGGCCCGTAGAAACAACCATAGAAGAATCTGCCGGTCCTATTTGGGGGCCAACAGGCTGCGAGGGCTAGGCTGTCGCGTCTCCTGCGCCAGGTCCAATCCCCAAATCATAAGTCTTGAGCTTCTCTGTTCTTGACTCACAGCTGTCAGTAAATGATTGATGTCCGAAGATGTATCTTCGGGGAGCGTATTTCGCCCCCCCCCCCCCCCCCCCCCCCCTCCCCCCGTTGTCTCCTCAGAATTCGGCTCGGGGCTCGAAGCCACGAATCCTCGTACGTAGCAAGGGGCGCGCGCTTCCGAGGCCGCCATCCGTGAGTAATTGTTACAGACGCGCGCAACCAGCCAGCCAGCAAACGGCCCAAGTCAATTGCCATGTGTAAATTTCAACTACAAGCCGAACAGCCGAATTGCCAGCCAACCAGCCGAAACTTAGACCAACCAAGCTACCAACCAGGCGTGACCGCGCCATCAATCTTGGGGGGGGGGCGGGCGGAAAAGGGCGAAACCCTTCAGGTAAGACAATTATGCCGGAAGCGTTCCCAAACCATTTTGCGCGCGAGGTGCACATTTGATTTATGAGCGTGTTAAACTCAATCACACTTTGCGAGCAACGCGCCGGTCTGACAGAAATTTGTGCCTAACGATGTTGGGCCACGCGCGGCACGCGTTTGCCTAACTTAGATAGCAAATTTTGTTGGCTAAATGGTGAGCGCGCAAATTTTTGCAGCGACAACAAATACGACAATAAACATATAACGGGAGAAAAACAACGGGGAGGCAGAGAAGGAGGGGAGAATTGGACAAGGAGGATAAGAAAGGAGCGGGGCAATATGATAATGCTAATGAGTAAAAGCGTCATGCACCACATCTGCTCGCTTCGCCCGCGTTTCCGCTGCGGGCGGCATTAGCCAGAGGAGGGGAGGGGGCACTGAGGACAGCGCCTTGCGCTACGTGACGCTCCGGCGCAGGCAGTGCGCTATGTGATACAACAGCGCGCGCGCTGAACGAAGGGACAGCGCCACGCGCCATGGTCGCCGTAGGCGCGCGCGCCCGTTCATATTCAACTGGTCGTCGCCCGTTGCAGGCACCGCCGACGGCGCCGTCCACAAAAAACAACCAATGCGCACGCTCGACAGGACCCCGCTTGCGGGTCTGCTTCGTTCAGTCGCGCAAAAGCCTCGCGAGCCCGAAAATATGCGCCATTTGCATCGACTGTTTCCACTAATTCTTCGCGCGGGCACTGAATTTTCGGAGACGCGCGGCCAGGTCCGCCGGCGGCCTCCGAGACAGGAGGTCCAAGCTCGGGGGCGCTGCGAACTACGAGCTGAACCAACACGTCTGCCAAAACAGCCCAGGAGCCGGGCCTCCCAACAACCCCCGAATCTAACGACATTGGCGCAACTCGCAGGCGCCCAGGATGGCCGCGACGTCTCGGGTGGGTGCGCGTGCAAATCCACTCCGCTGGACCTCCGGAAAGCCCACGAAAATGGTGACAGTCGCGTCGTTGACAACCCCCCAAACGGCTGCGATGTCTCCGTTTGCGGCGCGTGCAACTCCACTCCGCTGGACCTCCTGGGGCCCCACGAAAATATTGACAGTTGCGTACTTGCCAGCCACCTAAGCTGGCCGCGAAATCTCGTCTGGATGCGCGTACAACTCCACTCCGCTGGACCTCCCAAGAGGCCACGAAAGTGGCGACAATTGCGCAGTTCGCTGACAGCCGCGAAGTCGCGGCCGGGTGCGCGTACCACTCCACTCTGCTGGACACCCCGAGAGCCGACGAAAGTCGCGACTATGGCACACTTCGCGGCGACCCAAGGAGCACCCGACGGCGCATACTGGGATAGCACACAGGATGAGGGGAGGAGGAAAAGGAGGAGGAGGAAGAGGACAAGGTCCTAGGATACCACAGCGCGCAATCAAAAAGAAAACCCAACGCAAGACAACGATTGCAAAACATAATACAACCATATTGAGCGCCAAGTTCAAATCCGCAGCCACTTCCAAGCAAGTGCAGGAGGAGGCGGGATCCTGAACCCTCGATGTCCGATCTTCGGTGGCGCGCAGTTTTCTCTCCGCCCTCCCACCTGCGGGCCAACATTCAAGAACAATGGCCCCAAGACGCCAAAAAAGGGCGACCTCCGCCCGATGTCTTCGCCAAATTAATGCACCCACAAGACCACGATCGCGAAGGGAATTCCGCCGTGGCAGTGACGGAGACGCGCTGGGTTCAAGCCTGGCCGGAAGTTGGATTCCGACGTGGGTGTGTAATTATAGAGAATAAGATTAAACAAACGTTGAACAACATATTCGCCCTATCCTTGCACATGCGGTATGGCGAAAGGGGGCGACATCAACGCGACACCAAGGAACGCCGTGGACTCGAGACTTTGGCCTGGACGCACGCCGCGCACGACTACCCGGATAATGAAGTTTCGCAACCAATCGCTATGTTTGGGGGGGGTGCACGGACACGCAAAACACAGATCAACTGAGCGATAATTGGCGCCCTCCTCACCCGCACGCCCCATCCCACGCCTCTTCCCGATATACCTGCGTTTTCGCCCCACCCTCCTCGTACCCTTCGGACTGCTCCCCGTCCTCATCATACCGCTCCTCCTAATTCTCGAACTCTCCATATGCCAGTTCATGTCGTTCCTCCGCGCCCTCCTCCGCCGGATGCGTTCGCCCATCATCCACATCCGTGCCCTCGTCCCCTCCCCTACGCTCAAGTGCAGAGCAGCCTCCCTCATTCTGCCTCCCTGCCTTTCTCGTCCTCATGATGCGGACACCGATGATGCAGCTCCTCTTGGGCTTATGTCCTCCTCTCTCGTCCTGTCGCTTTCATCCCTAGACTCCTTCGCCACCCCTTTCCCTCTCGCATCCCGAACCTCTGGCGCCTATGCCCTCCCAGGCCACGGCCCCATCGTGCACCACCGGGACATCCGCGGAAACCCCCATCCAGTGACCATTGCAGCGAGTGGCGCGCAACATTTTCACCGTACAACGCCCTCTTAGACTAGCCGAAAAGAAACGAGGAAGTCCCCGCCCAGTCAACAACACCCGTGAGGTGCGAACAAGATCTGTGCACAATTCACACCAGGATGTGTGTAAACGGTGGACCCACACACGAAATACACGCTTGAAGACACCGCCTGTGTACACAGATCACACCTTGATGTGCATTTCGACAAAAATGTAAACGCTAGCCAAATCGAGGGCATCCCGAATGCAAATACACACATCCCTGTCCCAGGGCGGCCCCGAAGGGGCTGCGAATACACGCTTCCCTGACCCAGGGCGGCCGCGGCGAAACGCGGCACCAAAGCGGCCCCCAACGGCCCCAAGACGCCCGAAGAGGGCCCGGAAGGACCCCAAATAATGTCCCGCAGCGCTCCGAAAAGACGAAAGGTGTCACATGCCATGGAACTCTTAAGCATTGGCGGTCGTTGCCACCCGCACTTGGAATACGCTCCAAACGCTTGCGTTGGTATCCCCCAGTGTTTGGTTGCGCCGTTGTGCTCGGATATCGAACTGGCGGTATATTGCTGATACGGGCACGCGGCGCCAGGGACTTCACTTCCTTTTTTCGGACAAGGAGGGAATACGAATTGGGACGACGGACGGTCCAGCAAGGAGGCAAAAAGGAACGAAGAACAAGTGGCACGCGTGCCCTGGCTCTTGCACAAAGGAGCTGCGAAGGACAGGAGGCCCTCGCCTCCTTCCTCCAGGAGGGGTTTAGGAGGATCCAGGAAGAAAGCGGAGGAGGAGGACGACGACGACGATTTCTGGGGCCTGGCCTGGTTTTGTTTCTAGGCCTTGGCCAAGAGTGCCTCAATGGTTCCCCAAGAGCCGGGGGGCTACCCTGGGAAGCGTGGACAGGGGGTGGGGGCGAGGGGGGCGAGGGGGACGGGGAAGGGGGACGAACGACACGACGAACGACGAAAATAAAGGGTTCCGTGGCCCAGGGGGGCTACCCTGGGAAGCGTGGACAGGGGGGGGGGCGAGGGGTACCCTGGGAAGCGTGGACAGGGGGGGGGGCGAGGGGGACGGGGGGGGGCGAGGGGGACGAACGACACGACGAACGACGAAAATAAAGGGTTCCGTGGCCCAGGGGGGCTACCCTGGGAAGCGTGGACAGGGGGGGGGCGAGGGGGACGAACGACACGACGAACGACGAAAATAAAGATGTCCGAGCTCTAGAGCACAGCTGTGCAAGAGAATAATGGGGGAAGTGGAAGGTGCGCCCTCCCGCCCGAGCCGCGGACGCATTCGACACCATCCAAGGGGGGAGAAAGGGGGGGACAGAGCAAGGGGGAGGACGACGATCGATAGCAAAATTTCCATCGTCCGCATCTAGCCATATGCTTGCGATTCGGGTGCGCGCTTTCTTCGAAGCACTTCAAGACCGACCAATGCTGAATTCACGAACTTCCCCCAATTGTGCAACCCTGCCCTCTGTACCCCCTTGGTATACAACTGCCTCGCCACAAAGGTGCAGTGGATTCCAAGCCTGAAGAATCGCCCAAAGGCCTCGATCCACAACGCCTGCCCCTCCCTGGACGCGGGCTGGGTCGCGCCTCCTCCTATGCAAGACAGGAGCGGCGTCTCGCGTGCCCCGAGGCATGGCGCCAGTCCGAGAAATCCGCGGCGCCGTCCGAAAGTTTGT